AGGTGGCGGCTCCAGCTGGTTGCTGTAAAGATCCGGGTATAGGCCGAGCACTTGGAGTTAGAGACCCTTGTTATTAGAGCCAATCCCAGGCTTTTCAAAAATGGGGTAGCCAGGATGACTTTCCAGAGGCCTCTTTGGATAAGCTGGGCATCCAGTCTAGGGCTGGGCCAGCCCCTCCCGTACTGGGCTGGGACATAGAGCCTTTGATGTGGAGGTCCCTTTCCCAGCCAGTGAGGCAGTTGTCCTTGTTAATTGTGGAAGCCAGGCAAGCAAGCTTGAGGTCCCTGGGCCCACCCAAGTCTGACCCAGCAACAGCCTTCTCTGTTTGTCTCCCTGGCTGCCCTCCCATGACCACCTGGGGCATTCCCAGCTGGGGTGGCGACAGGGAGTGGTGTTGGTCAGGACTGAAGCAGCAGCAGGTGCTGCGGCAAAGCAGTAGGTCCCATGGGACCCGTAGTCCCTGGCACAGGTCAGATCCACCTGGGTGCTGTGTGCAGTGGAGGCTGTGGGTTTTGTTTGTGTTTGGTGGCGATGGAGATGGAGCCCAGGGCCTCACACACACCGGGCAGGCCTTTACCAGTGAGCCCCACCCAAGTCTGGGGCTCTGTATGAATACCGTCTTCTCACCCGTGCTTAGTGATTCTCATGGAGAAACCCAGAGCCTGTGTCTGTGGGTTTGAGGGCCAGTCTCAAGGTGTACTTCCTCCTCTGCTAGGGCTCTTCCTCTTCCATCGCTGTCGAGCAGTGCAGCCAGACCTTCGTCCATTTATTGTGCCTATCCAGGGACATGGACAGATGACCCTGAAGGCCAGGCATGGCGGCACGTGTGGAAGCAGAGGCAGGAGGATTGCCACCAATTCAAGGCCAGCCTGGCCTACATAGAAAGTCCAGACCAGCTGGGTGTGAGGGTGCACACCTTTAATCATAGCACTTGGGAGACAGAGGCAGGCGGATCTCTGTGAAGCCAGCCTGATCTACCTAGTGTATAGTGTGTTCCAGGACAGCCAGGGCTACACAGTGCAGTCAGTCTCAAGAAAAGCAAGCTGCTTGCCGTGTGACTCCATTAACTGTCCTTTGTTTTGAAGCAAAGGCTGGTCTGGCACTGGCTCTGGAGAGCAGGCTGGCCTTGAACTCAGAGATCCGCCGCCCCTGCCTCCTGAGTGGCAGTGAGCCACCATGCTCCATTAAATTTTCATAGGTACAGCTCTGCAGGGAAGGGCTACGAAAGACACCTGGCAGTTCCTTCTGTGAGAGCTCATGCTCTGCGGGTTACAGGGCATCATGGCCCACAGCATTGCCCCAAGGTATGGGGCGCCTTTCAGTGATGTTGAGAGAGTCCCAGCTTGTCCTGAAGCAATCACAGACCTCTCTGTCATAGCTAGGGTTTCCATTGCAGGGAAGAGACAGCCATGGCCACAGGAAAACATGCAATTGAGGCCGGCTCACATTTTCAGAGGTTGAGTCCGTTATCATCAGGGTGGAGAGCATGGAGGCATGCTGACAGACATAGTGCTGCCTACACCTGGCTATGCAGACAATGGGAAGTGGACTGAGGCTGGGCGTGGCTTGAGCATATATGAGACCTCAAAGCCCACCTCCACAGTAACACACTTTCTCCAACAAAGCCACACCTCCTAATAGTGCCACTCCCTTTGGGGGCCATTTTCTTTCAAACCACACCTCCAGTCCTCTGACTTAGCAGACAGGGCTCTTTGATGGTGATCTGGGGTCCAGCAGGGCTTTTATTTGAAGAAGGGTTTTATTTCTGTGAATAGATAGGCTTTTTCCTGTCTGTGCAGGTGTAAGTGGGTGGCCCGTACGTACTTAAAGGAGATGCATTAGTTCAAGGGACAAATCTCACAGTTTCTCATTGGGAAAAAAAAGTCTTGGGCTGGGGCTGTGTCAGTGGTAGAATATTTTCAGGCATACCTGCCTGAGGTGTATGTATCCCATGTCCTGCAGTGAAAAAAGAAGCAAAAGGGAGGGGCTAACAGTGTTGTGGCCCATGTGCCAGGGTATCTGTGAGCAGAGGGCAGCACACAGGGATTCAGTGAGTTATCTTTGTCTTATGATATTTATTGAGACAGCATCTCAATGTGTAGAGCAGGCTGGCCTCGAACTCAGAGATCCACCTGCTTCTGCCTCCTGAGCGATGGGACTAAAGGTGTATGCCACTACATCTGACCAGTGATTTATTTAAGAAAAGGAAAAAAGAAAACGTGAAGTCAGAAGTGGGGTGGCGGGGGTTCCCCAGAAAGAGTTGGAGGCAGGGATCAGGGTGAGTGGTTGGAGGTGTGGGCGTGGCGTGTGTGAAATCGCCAGATCATTGCTTTCAAGCCACACAGAATGGTGATCTGATGGGTCTTCCCCCACTGACCATGTGCCCTGAAGGCTGAAACCAGCTTCTTACAAAGAAAGACCTTGAGTCAGACGGTGGCAACAGTGGATGTCACATGCCTTTAATCCCCTCACTCACTTGGGAGGCAGAGGCAGGAGGATCTCTGTGAGTTTGAGGTCAGCCTGGTCTACAGAGTGAGTTCCAGGACAGCCAGGACTACATAGAGAAACCCTGTCTCAACCAAAATAGACAGACAAACAAACAAACCCCCCATACCAAAAGAACAAAAAGAAAGACCTTGTCTGCCATTTACTGTGCAGTGCAGCACTGTCATATGCCAAGTTCACTTCTACCCATTCAAAGATGAGCGTCAGGAGATGCTAACATTTCCGAACCATTCACCCCTCACTGACAGTTACCAAGAGGAATTATCTGGGCCACACATAAGTCTCTCCTGAGATAGGCCATATCTGTGGCAAGTGCCAGTCCTTGTGAGTCCCTGAGTTTGCCCACCTGCTACAATCTGGTTCTTAGTTAATGCTTTTTGTTTAATTCTTATGACTCAGCTGGGCTCCCAGGCTGCCCTTTCACACTGAAGGTCTAGGTAGGAAGCGGCTGGCTCCAGGCTGCCCACAGGGTGGGCCTCACGCTCCTCCAGGGCACTGCTGACCAGGCTCACAGCTGCTTCCTCCTCCCAGGTGTGCTCATGTACCGCGACTACCCTCTGGAACTGTTCATGGCCCAGTGCTACGGCAACGTGAATGACCCTGGCAAGGGGCGCCAGATGCCCGTTCACTATGGCTGCAAGGAGCGCCACTTCGTCACCATCTCCCCCCCTCTGGCCACACAGATCCCTCAGGGTAAGGCCGTGTGCTCTGTGCATGCAGCACCAATGACACACCTCTGTGTGCAGGCCCAGGCCTTCTCCAGCCTACTAGTTGGGTGCTGGCTGCTGTCAGAGCCTAGCCTGTGTCCAGGGCTTTCAAGGGACCTCTCAGAGGAGGGCTCCATGGTGCCCATCTCATCCAGCAGCCCTGAGTGGTCACAGTCACACTGGAGTTCCAAGACTCCACCCTTCCCTCTGATCCTCCTCCTCTCCGTGCCAGCAGGGCCCGGAACGCCTCATTGCCACACTCAGACCGTCTGATGGCACTATCAGTTGCTGTGGTGGTCAATGCTAGCATGAATTACTATCGCTGTTACAAAGAACAGGAAACTGAAGGCGAAGAGGGAAGTGGCTTACTAGGGTCTTGTGGTAGGAGGGAGGGCAGGAACTCACTCCTGGGTTCATGTGACTACAGAGCCCAAGTTCTACCCTGCCCTGGCTAGCCTTGGTTCTCAGAGCCAGGTAGACTCCCCAGAGCATGCTGTAGGTGCCCTGAGGCCCCTGGCCTACTACAGAGACTGCCAGGATGCCGGGCCTGTGCCCACATAGCACACAGACCAAGGATTAGCTCTCTTGTGCCCCCCCGGGCCCAGAGTCTGATGGGAGGTGTATGTCACAGTAGCTGTGTGGCTTGTGAGTCTGCAGAGAGGTGGGTGGCAGAGCTCTCTCCGAGCTGGCCTTGGCCTCCTCTTCCATTATCACGCCCTAGAGTCCCTCAGTCAGCAGATGTGTGGAATGGCCACTGTGTGCCAGGTGTCGCCCTTGGCTTTCTGAACAAGAGTCAGATGTCGGCCCTGTTGATGCTGATGTTGGGGTGGGGGAGAAGGGCAGGAAAGAGTGAAGACGCAGCTCCTGGAGCACTTCACCACAGAGGCACCATGGCAATTTAAATAGATGCAGCTTGGAAGGGAGC